AGTAAGCGGAGGTCGAGCAATGTTTTTTTCAGAGCTTCATATTAACATACTCGACTTTATAAATTGATAAAATATATTAAACCGGAAAGTTAAATCTAAATAATTTACGATAATAATATCCTAATCCTCGTTTTCCGTTGTCTTTAGCTTTCATCATCAGCTTCAATGTTAGACCAGTTCTAATTATACAATTTATGTTTTTCAGCCTTTAATTGTTTCAGCACCTATAAACAACCTAACCTGTAAAGTATCAGGTATGATTGTTTCTACTTTTAATGAGTGACCCATTGAAGGCAACTGTTACTCACTGATGATTTTTATTAAAGTTTATTTCCTAGATAAAATATTCTCTATTTTTTACCGGTTATGTAAAATCATCCGGTCAATATTTTAGAATACACGAGATCAACTTAAAGTGTTATATATCGAAATCAAGGATACAAATTTTCACCTTACCTGGCACAACCGACCGTCAAATTTGATTTAAAGTTGTGAAAGTATAAACCAATACTGACTAACTAGTTTAGACATGTTAACAACGTCTCATGGATTAGTCCCCTGGGTAGATTCCTTAGTACTGTAACGTTATTCTCTTAAGAGTAGATCTGTATCAAGTGTCTCCAGAATCTGTGATCCTTATGACGGGAGTTATGACAAGCATGATATATGGTCAGTAACAGTCATGTGGGGGTGTTGTCGTCGGAGCGTCTTGAATCACTCTTTTTATATGAACTATTTTTCATCATTTTGTGTAGCTTAAGATAAAATTCACAAGCTCTATTGAGAAGGATAATTTTATTTGTCCCATTTATGAATATGTTTAGGATTCTTGGCCCATCGGCCAGGTGTCACCACTTGGTGTATCTTCCACATTTTCGCTCGGGAGTGATTTATGTTCTTTATCAAATTCGGTTAGAACATTGCATTTTCGTTCTCGTAAAGTCACTCACTTGGTAACCTTATTCGCAGCCTGTTTTTAACATAGCAGTTAAATGTAAAGGTGTTTTCTTATAGAACAAATTTAATTTACAGACAGCGAGTTGTAAATATATTATTATAGAAAGGGAGAAATTACCTTACACAAGCGGACGTCCGCTTTTCATTCGCCGGAATGTACTAATTAGTTATTCAAGAGGTCAGTGCTACTTCTCTCACTGTTAGATATCTGCCAGACAACAGAGTTACTCTGGTTTAGTGTCTTATACAATTCTAACCCTCAAGAGCAGTAACAGTATTTTTATCTTGAAAATGAAAAACCAGTAGAAAAACATGTATATAGAATATATATCTATTTTTTTTTACTGTAAGCCGTTTAAAAAACACTTATGGAGAGAACCCAAAGGCAGATTACATTAAACCCTTTCAATGACTGAAAATTTTATCGCCTCCCGGTAAACAAATAATAGATGGTTCATCCATTTAACATTCTTGAATTCATGGTAAGTTCAATCCATCCTTAGTGCATGTGTGTGATTTATTCAACCAACATCAAGTCTATTAACCATTTACCACTGAGGTATGACCCACCCATTTCGGACAATTTCACAGCAGGGGCCAGCTGTTACGAATATACGTTGGGCAACATATTGATTTAATTGGCTGAGTGTGAACGTTGTACAAATTACCATAGTGGCTAGCAGATAAGAGCTCTGGCTGGTGTGGGATGGTGTGTGGAGACGTATCTTTGGTGTGTCGCGGGTAATGCTGTATTTGTGTTATACCACACCTACCTCTCTGAATTAGATGCCCTACTTTACACCTGATTATGAATAATACGTGACATAGTATACTGCTGAGTGCTGACGGAGTGTAACAAGCGGAACATGAGACGTACTTTGAATATTATACACGAAATACATAACATACTGTATAATATACATGAATACTGTATTGTATACGTTTCATGACAGTAGAACAGAGATGAACTTGACAACGAGTTAAAAGCTTTCATACACATAACTAACGATCTGTATTCACATTATGATATTCTAAGGCTGTGCATGTGAGTTAATGTGTTTGTCATATTAATATTTTACATACTTGTTATCTATGTGTACTGTACATAGGTAAATTGTCGAGAAAAAAAATTATCAAATAATCTTCTTACTGACCCCAACATCCCTAAATAGTTATCATTTGTATGGACTACGTGATCGGTTTTAGCACATCACCGGTCAGAACTCATCTACACTTACACCATAAAGTCAATCGGTGTTGCTAATAACTCATCACAATCTGAAATAGAATTACGAAAGAAAATGATTTCATCCTGTCACTATATTTCTAGTGGCGTAGTTAACAAATGGTCCTTTTGTAACAAGCATGACATGTAAGGGTAAGCGTTTAGCGTGTACGTAAGTGGATCGGGGTGAAGCGGCCACAGGTCAATTGATTATGAATATTTGCTAGTTCTGTTGTGTAAACGAGGTGCTGTGAAAGGTGGTGTCGTGGGTAGGGGTGAGGACTGAGAATGTGTAGGAATATCTTTGGTTGGGATATTAGAAAACCTAATTTATTAACTCATTAGGATTTTAGAAAACCCATCTTGTTAGGCCATTGGGATATTAGAGAAATCCTCAAAGAATGAAATTGAACAATGAATCCGTGTTGTGTTCTGATTACCTTTACGAATTGCTTCAGTCGGGTTAATTAATATGCACAAGTTCTTTTTTATTTCTGTTTTCTTAGTACATGGAACTCTGATGCTTTTAATAATTACCCTGAAACAATAATATCCATACTAATTGACACGCAGTTAATGTAATAACCTACAGCAACAAGTGATGGACGGTATAGTTGTATAGTCCCAAGTATTTGTTTTATGTTTGTTCTGAAAAAATATTGGTCATCTTCCTCAATGTTATCGCGCTGTCATTTTTCTGTCGGTATTAATATTTTTTCTTTCGATTTTTAACACAAACAAAAAATATTCATAAAAGTTTTGATAATTTTAGGGTTTCGCCTCAAAATTCCGATTATTTTTTTTTTAAGTTTTTATTTGGGGAATATCATATATTATGAAAATAATTGATTTAAACGATGATTTTTAGGAACAGTGAAATGAATGTGTTTGACGGTTATGGAAAAGAGAAGTTTACACAAATCTTTAAAATGGTTTGTGGAAAAGTTTCTTTTATATTTTATTTAGACTTTATTAAATGAAGACGTCGAGTTAGTTTTCATCACTTTACCTTTACATAGATACACTCGTAATTTGTTAGTCATTCCAGCAACAAGAGACAACTTTCATTTTCAGGAATTTTTAGTTCTGGAGTACAAACTCCTAGAAGAATGTTGTTAGCTTTGTGATAATTCGTTTAAATACTGGTATATAAGCAACGTCTCCAAATGTGGAATACCTAACAGATTTTTCTTCCTGTATTGCACTATCTATATATTTATTTTCTCATGTCGTTCGTCTCCCACTATTTATAATTAGCTTATTTCATCGTTTTACGTAGTCGGTGATCGCTCCTGTCTTTAACTTCTATTTTAAGTGTAACGACCTCTGCTTCACGGCTCGAATACGTATAAGTTATACGTTCAGCTAAATGCCTCAGCGACAGGACCTTATAAGCTTGATGGGGCCTTTTTTGACACGAGTAACCGGCAGTAAGCATGATGTAAACCCGGCAGTTTAGCCAACAGCTTGTCATTACGTTCATGTTTGATATATTCAGACCAGATACACACGACATGGCAGAATTTCCTCTTGAATCGAACACATTAACAGGCATGCACGCACTCGTATCCACACTGACGCACAAATACAGCCACACTGATACGTGCAAATATATAGATACCATACAGATGAAAACTCCTATGTAACCAACAAATTTAAAAAAAAGTGTGCACACAGTAACACACACACACACACACACACGCAAATATATATATATATATATATATATATATATATATATATATATATATATATATATATATATATATATATATATATATATATATATATATATATATATATATATGCAGTCAAAGACGAAGCATGTGTATTTGTTCCCTGGGAGCTGGACCTTCTCTCCGGCCACAAAGCCCATGTCATCACTCGGTCTGCTCGCTCTGTCCAAGCAATTCCCTCTCGGCGTTACTTCCACGTATCTAACTAAGCCTGTCCCTTGACTCTTCTCCGTCACTTGTATTCGAATTGATTTTACCTTTTGCCGATGAAACTCCACTTTTATACTTGTCATATTTTGTATTGCACGATTTTTTCTGTTAGAATTTCCTTTTCAACTCATTTAAAAAATGCTACTTAAATTATGTCTTGTTTGTTATCATTTGACGTATTCGTTCCTCAAATAAGAGAATCCAAACCTGTTGTCACTTACACTATCTGATTGTTTTGTTACAATGTATATAGTACACTATAAACATTTCTCCACACAAATAAAAAACTTGAAAGGAGAATATCACAGGACTCGTTAATCTCTCTCTCTCTCTCTCTCTCTCTCTCTCTCTCTCTCTCTCTCTCTCTCTCTCTCTCTCTCTCTCACACCTCTCTCTTTCTCTCTTGCTAACTAAAATTCAGTGTATCTGGCTGTCGCTACGTCGTGTTGCTCGGTGCAGTAACGATCGTCCACTCTGAGAACGTCTGGTCTTTGTGACTCCGGTAATCAAAATCAAATACCTTCTCGGAAAAAAAGGGTTTGGCAAACAAACCTTTTTTCCTCCCTCTGATGTTATTTTTGTTTTAAATCCAGGTCTAGTCCTCTCTTTCGTCCTCTGAGAAATAACTGTATATTTGTCCTCCTTTTATTTAACCTGGCTTTCATTGTCACCTGTTTCTTTCTTGGTGTTTCTTTCCATCTCTTTCTTCTCTCCTTCACACTTCTTTCTCTCAGTTTCTAGTTCCACCCCCCCCCTTCCTCTCTCTTCCTGTTGCATCACACTATTTTCCTCTCTTCATTATATCTCTTATCGTATTTTACAAACTTCACAACACCTACAGAATGAAATAAAACATCTAATGATATACCTCCATGGTGGCCTCACATACTCACATCACCTCCATGGTGGCCTCACATACTCACATCACCTCCATGGTGGCCTCACATACTCACATCACCTCCATGGTGGCCTCACATACTCACATCACCTCCATCGTGGCCCCACATACTCATATCACATCCATAGTGGACTCACATACTCACATCACCTCCATAGTGGCCTCACATACTCACAACACCTGCAGAGTGGCCTCACATACTCCAACACCTGCAGAGTGGCCTCATATACTCACAATACCTGCAGAGTGGCCTCACATACTCACAACACCTGCAGAGTGGCCTCACATACTCCAACACCTGCAGAGTGGCCTCATATACTCACAACACCTGCAGAGTGGCCTCATATACTCACAACACCTGCAGAGTGGCCTCACATACTCACAACACCTGCAGATATATTGACACTAATAACGTCTCTGTTTACATGGCCAGCTTCGTATTATTCTCATAATATTTACGGAATAATGTATATTTTCTATCTACTCCAACATAATCACGCCAGTTATCATATGCTCATACACACAAGTCTTTTTTATGTGTTACCAGGAGAGAAGATATGGCCAAATTACCTCAGTTATGTGAGCTTTAACAGAACCAAAGTAACTCAGTAAGGTTGTGTCTGAGGCAGTTTGTAATGAAAGGTTATACTTGTAGAGTTACACACCAAGTTCCTTCCTGTATGTCTCTTGCTACCTATATCCCATTTACCTGTATCTATGACTACCTATTTTCCAAATTACCCATGTCTTATCCGACACTATATATACTAGTTACATATGTCTTCTTTTAGCCACACTTCCCATGTCTTCCCTCCAGCCACACTACCCATGTCTTCCCTCCAGCCACACTATCTATGTCTTCCCTTCAGCCATACTACCCATATCTTCCCTTCATCCACACTACTCATGTCTTCCCTTCATCCATACTACCCATGTCTTCCCTCCAGCCACACTACCCATGTCTTCCCTTCAGCCACACTACCCATGTCTTCCCTTCAGCCACACTACCCATGTCTTCCCTTCAGCCACACTACCCATGTCTTCCCTTCAGCCACACTACTCACTATTTCCCTTTTATTAACTCTTCAGACTGTCAGGATCTGAGGCCAACATGGAAATATACGCCACGTTTTATTTTTTCGGTGGTTAAAAAAATATATACTTTTACATTAAGGTATTGGGATAGATTTAAAAGTGTGAGAAAAAGTCAATTGTTCCTTATTAACCTGGTTTTGGAGATTAAGGTTAAAGCATTAGATTAAGTACACATTTGTGGGTGTCGAGAGCAATTATCTTTGTATTTATGTTCGCATGAAGATATGTGTGTGATTGATGTTAATTCTGGCCACCTTTCTTGATAATGTGTGTGTGTGTGTGTGTGTGTGTGTGTGTGTGTGTGTGTGTGTGTGTGTGTGTGTGTGTGTGTGTGTGTGTGTGTGTGTGTGTATCATTGATAAACGCGGAAACCCACAAACAGTCTACTGTACATGAGAAACAGCTCTATCTGTGGCTCACTATACACTGACGAAGGCCGCTGCCATTTCCCGCAACAAATTATGAGATACCGAGTCACATCACATCCTCCGTGATACCATGAAAGCAATATCTTGATTGGCGTTGAATCCTAGAATATCGTGCCCTGAAATCTTTGATTGCGAGCGTAGGCACGAAAGACTATTAGGGGAGGGTCCTGGTCTGTACAAAGGCTGTCTCATGCGGACGTGTGTTACATTTGGCCGCTAGAATGGCCATCCTAGTCGAGTCTTCAACATTGTGTGCTTATTCTGTTTTTGTGGGATTTTTCTCGGGGTTGGTTTATTCTCTGTCCTCTGCCTGTGGTGTGTATATGAGAAAGAGAGAGAGACCTAAGGGCAGTTTTTCAAAAGCATCAGAAGTAAACGGGACTAAAGACACGAGAAGAAGGATAATTCTCCCATCGGAACTTCCCTACATTAGGGTCCGTTCTTCAATTACTAACATCTGAACTCGAGGTGTAGATATTGACGGTTACAAGAGTCTTCAGGGCTAACTGAGACCAGACCTGTCTGCCTAATGAATTTACGACTGATATTAATGTTAAGGGGTAAATTTATACGAAGTTTTCATTACCGTTTATTTACTTATTTTATTATTTATAAAACATTAGGTGATGGATAGTCATTTGCTTTTGTTTTATTCTCTGTATAAACATTCGTTTGTACTTGTATTTCCTGTTCATTATTTTGTTCTATGTGTGTATTTGGATAATTCATCAAAATTCCAGCATTGCACATTCGCTCTACCTTGAAGGGAACGCGCACATCACTCTTTTAGTGAACTGCTTTCGTTAGTGGCACTACTTAATACCCAACACCGACCTACGAGAACTTTTGGTAAGACACGGACCATTTTTCTCAGTAATTCTTTATATATCCAAGAGTAACATTATGTAGAGTTCCTTTTATCATACAATCTTCAAAACCTTAAAATATCTTGTCCTCGGTCCTCAACAAGGGGACGTCAAGGGGAATATATTTGACAGGAACCCGTTGTTGTTTTTTTAAGTATGAAGAAGACAAAAACAATAAGGAATTAGTTATACATTTGCACGTGGCGGGAAATAAAATGACGGTTCAGTCGACTTTGTGTCTTATATGAGAAGTATATTACATTAAAAGTAAAAGTAAATGCTAACACAACCGACTTGTCAAACTTGCGTATACCATACTAGATGTTCATTTAGTAAAGCAACCCATAAAATATAACAAGTATCTACCTGTCGATGTAAATAATATAAAATTAATAACACAACCAAAATTTATAGTGCTGTATGAGGTACTGTTATAACAAAGAGAAAGACTGTTTCTTATTTCTTACAGATGAACAAAGAATATTTCTCGTGGCCGGGGCAACACAAAGAGTTCAGTAAACAAACTGGCCTGACAAACATTACACCAAGTGTGTGACAACAAGGATAGTCGAGCTCATTTGTGTAAAAAATAAAACGGTCAACACATCCAGCAGTTCCTAGAAACTTATTATATTAAATGGCTCGTGTTAGCTACTCAATACATGTGTGTGTGTGTGTGTGTGTGTGTGTGTGTGTGTGTGTGTGTGTGTGTGTGTGTGTGTTTTGGAGATGAAATACTAGAGAGAAATATATGATGTACTAGCATGTTTATGTTATTATGTTTCATTATAAACTTTATAGCAGATATTTATTCATTGCCCCAGGTTAGAATACAGTTTTTCACACACGTCGTATATAATTATGCAGTCGTTTAGATATGCTGTATTCTATTTGGTTCCTTACTATATGGTTTAAGAAATTTTAGTTTTAACCCATTGTGTACGTTGTCGCTTCTGAGCTGAATAAAATCGTCATATGTTAGCCCTGTAGTGAATGGTTAAGAAAATACAGCGTTTACAGTCTTTCCTCTGATATATTAGTTAAATGTGGCTGCATAGTACCGTAGACTTTACTTTGATTTCAATCCGCTGTCATGTTAACCATCTCCAACGTGTCCTGTCATGAATTTTTGTGTCAAGTCTTGTGACTACACGGCTAAGAAACTGTAGGTCAGTAATAAAATTTTCCCTCCACGGCAAGGTGTAGTACACTTATATTTAAGGCGTAAATAAGTTATTTTATGTATTATGTATATAATCTCATTTTAATCCCTGCGAAACATACACATCCGTATATTAGACAGAATAATTTTTAAGGAATTTTCAAGAGTACAGTATACACATATTCTAATAAATCAAATTGTTATGGGTATATGATGCATATCTTGTTATATTTATTTTTTGGTTTTCTACTCTAGATACAGCACTCGCATTCAGGACTAAAGGTTTTTGGTTCGACCAAACTTTACAATTGGGGAAGTGAAGAGTGTGGAATGCCGTGCCGGCCACGCTGCCTCATTGTGTGCAGAAGGATTATTTTGGTGTGCTGTGTCCACACTGTTCGTAATAGGTCGTTAAACTATGGGACCCAGTTTTTGCTTTTATTCACCTGAAGCGAATCGGCAGGTATCTTAACTTCTGCCTTCTATTGGAATGTCAAAAACACATTCGTACGATCAATCAATCAGAGTACCGCCCTCATGAGGGTTGGCGATCACAGTCCTCTAACGTCCTCGGGCTGTTTTTACCAATCCTCTAAGGTTTTGTATCTCTCTGGGGACCCAGTGTTTAATTCAGTTCATCCATCCTAGTCTCTGCTTTGCCCTGGCCCTTCTACCTTTAACTTTGTCCATTAATATTTCTGTCATCATGCTCTCTTCCTAAGATACTGATACTCAATTTGTTCGACAGGAAGGTTCGCTCTTGTCTCATATCGTGTGTTGTTTCAAGAAGTTGTGCTTGAGCATTCTTTGGCCACAGTGACCGAAACATGTGTGTGTGTATGTATATATATATATATATATATATATATATATATATATATATATATATATATATATATATATATATATATATATATATATATATATATATATATATATATATATAAGGTATGTGAGTGAATAGATTATTCACTTTTATGTGTACAATTGATTGCATGCATTTGTGTATAAAAATGATTCAATGAGAGTGTGTGTGTATGTTTTTTGTATTATTGAATATCAGTGTCTGTCTGTATGATTGACTACCCTTGTCTATGTACTGTATGTGTATGTTTATGTGTGCGTAGTGTAATGCCACAAAAATAATATATACCATTAGTATCCCCACAGTTTTCATTGGGTTAGAATAAATAAAATACGCTTCGATTACCGCTGTTAATTATAACGCAATTATTTGTAGACCATTTTCAGGGTAATTACGGCATTTTGACAGGTGCACTATAATGACCGATACAATAATAGGCTCTCATAACTGACCATAATGACGTGGTTAATCATAGGTCTGTCTCAGCTTCACACACACATACACAAACAACATTCGTGTGGCATTGATATTCATTCATTGAATTTAAACTGTATAGCATATGAAGAAACACAACACAAAGAGTTATAATCACAACAACATACAACACCCACGCCATCATAGGTTGTATCAATATGAGGTGTTGTGTATACCATGGTAGTCGTACTCATACTATTTAATGATGATCAATACATTACAGTGAGATTGATTCATGCCGATATAAGAAATCCATTTTCTCAGTTTATAAATATTGTAGCGCGTTAAATGACACGTTAGTCAAATTTTGCTAAAGTGAAGTAAACCAAGAGACAGTAAAATATTATACAGAAGATCGTGTTATCTTAAGCATATGGAAGTAAGCTACGAAGCATGACTGAAATCCTCACCAAATGTACTAAACGAAGGAAAGGAAATGAAATATGATATGACCCAAGAATATCTGATTGGAAGTCTACGGTAATCAATTAAATTTTATTAAGGAGTACAAAT